ATCTGGTACCTGCCGCCGCTGCGAGGCAGTGATGTGATTTGAGGGCCTGTCCCTTACATTCCTGCACAGTCGGGAGCAGACGGAGCCACTTTGCCATCTCCTGCAGTCGGGAAGGCACATGGCCAGCCCTGGGCAGTGGTTTTCGGTCACCTCCTTCAGCCCCTTCCCTTCCAGAGCAGGGGAATGGAGACGAGAAGGTTCAGCAGCAGGTTGGGTCCAGCCCCAGCACACCACGGAGAAGCCAAAGGGACCGGAGACGCTGACCAAGCTCCCCAAAACCCGTGCCACGTGGGGCACGAGCAGCCTGGGATGGGCACAGAGCAGGGACTGCAGCTCGTGCTCCCCCTCTCACACCAGCAGCTGCTGCTCATCTGCCTCGGGACTGCTGCAGAGCCGAGAGCTGCTGCAGATTTTACCACGCCAGCCTGAGCAAATGCTGTTACCAGCCCTGGGGATGGGGAGAAACAGCAAATGGACAGCAGTGCCTCAAACCCCTCGGGTGCCCGTGGAGGCAGGGAGAGGCAGAAATTGCAGCAGAGGGCATTAACGTGACTCGGTGCTGGCAATGACAGCCCCTGAACCTGCAGCTTTCACTTCCCTCCTGTAAGTGCATGACGGAGGGTGGGAATGGGGGACTTGAAACCCGGCACAGGGGCACGCTGAAAGGCCAGAGCGGTGCCTGTCTGCCTGCCCGGGGCTTTAACTTGCAGATCAGGCAGAACTGTCCTTCCTCCCGCGGCCAGCACTTCTGCATTTGGGCAGCTCGGGCAGGAGTTCCTCCTCTGTCACGGATTCCCCGTGGAGCCAGGCTGCTTTGGATGCTCCGTGCGTCACCTTCACCTGGGCTGAACCTCCCCTGGGAGCCGAGGAAACCAAAAGGCCAGGAGGGTGCCTGCAGCTCGACAGCAGGAGGGAAAGCAGAGGAACATTTCACACGAGGCTTCGTGCTTTACTTCAACAAACGTTCACCTGCAACATCGCTCTGGGTTAGGCGCAGAGCTCCAAATTCTCTGTGCTGGGCTGGGGAGGCTGTGGTAATTAACACCGGAGGTGTCTCATGTGCAAACTGGGTCCCAGCTCCAGCAGCTGGCGGCACCAGCTCGCCCTGCATCGGCGCTGCTCTCAGTTAATGACATGGTTTTGAAGGCAACATCTCTGGGGATGGCAGCCCCTGTGTCCCCCTCCCGCTTTTCGCACCGCTGCGCCTTGCTGGCTTCTGAAAACGACACCAAGAGCCACCACAACCTTCAGCAATGCTGTTGCGAGATGCAAACCTCTTCTCAGAGGCACCAAGGACCGAGCAGCTCCTCCCTGCAGCCTTCTGCTCTTCCCCAAAGTCCTTTTCCCGGGTGCTGTCCCCATCTCCCCCCGGGGCTGGCGGTGCTGTGCAGCACCCCGGGGTGCTGCCGATGGGAAAGAGCCTTCCCCTGGCTTTGTGGCTGCCGTGGCCAACTTGGGATGTGCTGTCCCTGCTGTCCCCAGCCTTAGCGGCCCGAGCAGAGGGCGCGGGGTGCCCGTGGACGCACGGCCCTGGGAAGCAGGTCACAGCAACAGGCTCTTCTGGTTCCATCTCCGTGATTCAGCCGAGGCGTGCGCGGTGCCCAGAGGATCCTTTGGGTGCCTCCCTGCAACTCAGCGTCGTGGCCAGCCCCGGCTGCAGCCCAGAGGAGGGGCGATGCGATGCGAGGAGGGATGCGCCCGGCACCGCCACTGCCACCACCAGCACCTCGTCTGCCACCAGCTGGCTGCAAGCACCTGCCTGGTGCTAGCCACGACGTGGCGATGCCCCCGCTTTGCACAGCCCTTTGCAAACGGGTCTAAAAATTCGTCAAAAAATTGGTTAATGCTGCTGGAAGAGGGAGCGAGGAGCACAAACCCCAGCTGCTCGGGGGCTCGGCTGGCTCCCGGCGCCTCGCTCGCCGATTCACGCCGGGTGAGGACTCGCCGGGTCGGTTCCACTGCAGCGAGCTGGGTTTAATGAGGAAACATCAGCCAAGGGCACTGCCTCGCTGCCTGACACGGCCTGGTGTTGTTTTTTCAGAGTTTCAGGAGGACAGGAAAATATAAAAGCGAACCAAGCAAAGGCTGAGCAAAAACTTCGGCGACTTTTGGCCTTCTGGAAGCTGTTTCGGGACATTAAAGGGGATGGGTCGGCTCTCCCCCGCTGGGGATCTCAAAGCACTTCGCAGAGAAAGACTCGCAGGGCCCTGCCTGAGCCCGAGAGGTGGCTGGTGATGGCAGGCAGGAATTTGTCCCCAGCCAGAGGGGACAAAAACAGGGCCTCTGCTCCTCCTGGCTGCACCGAGCATCACGCGGGGATACACGGGCAGATTGTTGCAGCTTGCAAAGCAGAAATCCAACCACAAGTGTTTGCAGCCTCTGACAATCAGCTGGCGGGGATCTTCCCTCCCCAGCACCCTACGGCTTTACCACGGCCCCTGTTTGCTCTAACACCTTGACACCCCGATCCCACAGCCAGGTGGGACCTGGCGAGGGGTCCCAAGCAGGCAGGCAGACGGGCACGGAAGGCTGCAGGAACCCTGCTCTGAACCCTTTTTGGATGACTGAGACGACTGCATTAAGGATGATTTGTAAAGCAGGTTTTTACAGGGGCTCCTTACAGCTGCTACAGCGGGTAAATCCTATTTCCTTGTCAGCAAGAAGGGCAACGTTGGCAGAAAGGGGAAGCAGTGTGCATGGATGGGAACAAAATCAAATGGCATTGATCAGACGGGCACAAAAGGCTTTCCTGAAAGCCCGTGGTGCCTCCTGCCTTCCTCCCATCCTTCCGGTGCTAGGCACCAAGCAGCATTTCCCAAAAAAAGTCCACAGCCACTAATTGACTTCCAGCAGAGAATCCTAAGTTACCCTCTCCCCTTCTCCTCGATGAGCAAGCCCGTCTGCGTTCGGCGCTCACATATGGCTTGTTATATATATATATATACACATCCCCCCAGCTTCTTGCGGCACAACACGCTGCCAAACCTGCCTCGGCGTGCCTTTCAGACCCCAACTCCAGCAAGGGCCACGAGTATGGGGTGGTTTTGTGCAGCACCCAGCACCCTAACGTGCTGCTCCCCCCCTGCAGCTCCGGGATGCGCCCGCAGAAGCCCCCGAATGAATGGGAGGGCTGAGTGAAGGGAGGCACAGCGAGCACCAGGCAGATTCACAAATGTGCTGCAGCCACCCCCAAACTGGTCCGGCCGAGAGCGGCGCCCACGCAGGCTGCAGGGCACCCCGTGATCCTGATGGATGGGGTCTGGGGGGATTTTTCCCACCTGTGCCCTTCGCTTTGCTGGGTGCACCCAGCGCTGGCTCGCTCCGGCGGAGCTGTCAGCAGGACAGGGCAGGACAAAGTGCCAGGCTACCACGGAGTGGCAGGAGACGAGGGTGGCTGAGTGCTGGCAGCGCAGCCCCAACGCCAGCCAGAAATAGAAGAGGTGGGGAGAAGAAATCTCCCGTGGCAGGGCAAGGTGAAATGCCAGGCTTGCCCCCGAGCGCTGCCGGTGTCTCTCCTTGGTGGAAGCAATTCCTGCGGGGATTTGGGGGAGGATAAACCCCCTCTGGCTAACCTGGCACCGTCACCGCCGCGTCACTGCAGCCCCAGCGCCTTTCCCAGGGCCGTGGGGAGGGTTTTGTGCGTGGGGCTGCCTGGTGGAGGGGCAGGAGGGAGGCAAGCCCCCGGGAGGAACTGCACGGAAAGTTTTGAGCCTCCTCCGGAGCTCAGCCAGGCACCTGCCTGCAGCACAGAGCAGGCAGGGAGCCCCAGGCTGTCCCTTCCATCACCCCTTTTTGCAATGCACAGCAGATCCCTTTGTCCTGGCAGCACGGAGGCATTACCCAGCCCGGATTTCTCTTTGCTCCCCTCTCACCCATCCGCCTGGTTTCTTGCCCAGCCAGCCCCTGTTTCACCCCTGCCTTTACCCATTTTAGCCGGACCCCCCCTGGGCGCTGCGCTCTGCCCACCTCCCGTGCCCGGGGCGATGCCACCTCCAGCTCTGCCAGCACCCACAGCCCCCAGGCCCTGGCGTTTGCCCTGGTGGCCACAGCTTTGGCTCCCACCCTGCTTCCAGCTCCCAGCCCAGCCAGCCTGGCCGCTCCTCTAGCCCCAAAAGAGGAGGAACAGAGGCAATGCCACAACTTCTGCAGACACAGGCTGCCCCTCGCCCTGCCCGGGGGTGGCACACGCGCCCGCTGCCCCTTCTCCAGACCCAGCCACCCCCAGATTGCCTCCAAAAAGCAAACCAGCGTCCTGCTTTCACCTCCCAGCTCATTCACAAGCCCTGCAAACCCAAAGTGCTGGTCGCCCTGCCATGGGAACGTTTCCACAGCCCTCCAGGATGGCGTGAACCAGCAGAACAAACCCTCCCCATGGGCACGTTATGCAGCGGGGTCACCCACCCACTGCCGAGAGCTGGGCTGGAGCCCAGGGCAGCACCGAGCCCTGGGTGGGGGGGACACAACCCAAATCCTTGCCCATCTCCTTCCCAACAACCCCAAGCAGGCTCGCCGAGCACAAAGCAAGCAGGGGAAGAAGCTCGGAGACCTGGGAGCTGCCAAAAGGGCCCGTGGGAAGCGTGCGTGAGAAGAGAGGAGGCATTTTTTTTTTTTTTTTTTTGGGGGGGGTGAAATCTCGCTGCCTCCTCCCGAAGCATCTGGGCTCAGCCTCGTGGCTCCCTTCCCCGGGGCAGCCCGGCTGCTGCGCCTCGCCAGCCGTTTGCTCGAGCCCCAAAAAGCAAACAAAACCGCCTCGGTTCCCAAACAAACCATCGCCTTGTTCCTCCCCACACCGGGGGGGGGGGATCCGGCCACGACCCCCCTCCCACCTCCGGGCAGATGCACCCACACCCTCTCCAAAGGCGCACCCCAAAAAGCCTCTCCCGTCCTCCCCAGCACCCTTCATCCCCCCCAAACACCCCAAAAACCCCTCGGGGGGGTCGCCCCCATCCCGAAAAGCCCCGACCCGGAGCCGGGGGGGGGTCCGGCCGGCAGCAGCTCACCTGGGGAGAGCGCGGCCGCCAGGATGCAAACTCCGATAGTCCACCAAGATGCAGGGCAACTTGTGTGCAGCTGTGAAGCCATGAGAGTTCCTTCCGAGAAATGGGCAAGGGGCGGTCTGGCAGCGTCGCTGGCCCCCCCCCCTTTAGCCCTCCCCGCCCGCGGTGCTGCTTAAAAAAAAAAAAAAAAAAAAAAAGGGAAAAATGGAGGTGCGGGAGGGTGAAGAGGTAATAGGGGCGGCTGGAGAGCAGGCAGGAGGCTGGGGGGGGACCGGGGAGTTTGGCACATCCGCGGGGGCCCCGGGGATCGGAGGGGAGCGGGGATGTCCGCCGGGGAGGCTGGTTGGGAGGGGAGGGGAAATCCACCCAAAAAAAAAAAAAGGATGGGAAAAAAAGGGAGAGGGTGAAAAGAGGAAGGAGAAAAAAAAGGGGAAAAATGGAAAAAGGGGAAAGGTAAAAGGAGAAAGGTTGAAAGAGAAAGGTAAAAAAAAAAAAAAAGGGTTGAAATGAGGGGAAAAGGTTAAAGGAAAAAGGAGAAAGGTTAAAAGAGAAAGGAAAGGGGAAAAAATAAAAGGGTTAGAAAAGGAAAAGGGTTAAAGGAAAAGGTTAAAAAAGGAGAAGGGTTGAAAGAGGTTAAAAGGAGCAAAAAGGGTTAAAAAAGAGGGAAGAGGTTAGAAGAGGGAAAGGTTTAAGGAAAGAGGGAAAAGGTAAAAAATAAGAGGGAAAAGGTAAAAAATAAGAAGGAAAGGGTTAAAGATAAGAGGGGAAAGGTTAAAAATAAGAGCGGAAAGGTTAAAAATAAGAGGGGAAAGGTAAAAAATAAGAGGGAAAAGGTTCAAAAAAGAGCAAAAACCTTTTCAAAAAAAGGCAAAAACCTTCCAAAAAAAAAAAAAAAAAGACCGAAAAGCTTTCAAAAAAAAATAAAAAATCGGTGTTGTAAAGCAGCCGAAGAGAAGCAGGGAGCAGCCCTGGGCCGTGCCGTGGCTCCGGCGGCGGGGCTGGGCTGGGAGCAGCCCCCGGCCGCTGCCTCCGCTCGGGGTTAGGGGGGGGGGGAGCGCGCCGGGAGCCCGGCGGCGGCGCTCAGGGGGCCGGGAGCGGGGTCGGAGCCGGGGCCGGGGCCGGGACGAGCCGGTGTCGGAGCTCCATGGCCGGGCAGGGGCTGTGCCCGGGCGGGCAGGGCACGGCCGGCCGCTGGCTGCGCCGCGCTCACACTCACACGCGCGCTCCCGGGCGGGGCGGAGGCGGCGGCGCTCGCCCTCTCCTCCGTGATGTCAGTGCGGAGCGGCGGGGAGGAGGGAGCCGCGTTAACTCTTTGCCTGCTCCGTAGCATCCCTTTCGGGAGCCCCGGGGCTGGCTCGGGAAGAGGGGAGGTTGTGGGCGAGCCCCGGCCTCGCTCCGTGCCTCCCCGGCTCCTCCGCAGCCTCCTCGCCGCCGCCTTTTGTTCCCCAAAGCCGGGGGAAGGATGGAGGCTGGGCGCCTCTCCAAGGTGTCCCCTGCTCATCTCCGCTGCTTCATCAGCCGGGTTTTTGGGGGCTCTCCCCAGGTTTTGGGGGGTCTGGAGGCTCGCCCCCCAAATTTCCCCGGCGGTGCTGGCACACAGCAGGTCAATGCACCTTACCCAAACCCTGCGGGAGCTGCGTGCGGCCGGCGTGTGGAATCTGCAGCCACACTCACCAATATATCTATTTATTTTTTGTGTGTGAATCCCAACGTACAGCGTTTTCATGGAGGAAGGAGCCTGTTCTGGCCACGCTCTGCATGCCTCGAGAAGGGAAGGGCTTCCCAAGCAGCACAAGGGCTGAAACGCAGGAGGAGGGAGGCTCTGCTCCTCCGCCTCGTAGCAGCCCTTGTTTCGTGGGCACGGCTGCAGCCTTCGTGGCTCCCTTGCTCAGGAGGTGTTCAGCCTGCAAACGGAGCCACCCGGGCCTCGCCGAGGATGCTGAGCCCCAAACAAAGATGCGAACGGCAAGGACAACAACCGACAACAGAAGTCCTGTTGATTGCAAGCTCCACTAGAACAACGCGGGAACAAATCAATGCCTGGCGAGCAAAAAAAGGACAAGAAGCAGTGGGGAGGGATACCACACATCGAGGAGAAGGGAAGCAGAGGTGGGGGGGGGGCAGCCAGCAGCTATAAAAAGACACCTCGAAGGACCCCTCCAGCAGTCTCCTCCTCCTTTTAATTCCCTTCGAAGTTAATTCCCGTGCAGGGGAAGGATGGGCAGCTCTGGAACAAAGCGGATTAGCCGGATGCGAGGTTTGGTCTAAAATAACAAAAGTTATTACGTAGTAATGAGGTTTAGTCAATAAGATACACGGTTCTTTAGGGCCAGTGGGATTCCTCTGGAGGTCCTGTGTGCCGAGCAGAGGCTGCTGCCCCCATGCCTGCTGCCTCCTGCACACAGCTGCAGGAGCACAACCCCTGTCCTCGTGGGCAGGGAAGCTCTGGAGAGCCCCCGGCTCCCTTCCACAGTAGTTTCAGCCCTTGGTTTTCCAGCCCTTTGTGTTTTATCTGGCTCAGTTTCACCCTTGATCCATGGGTTCTCATTATTTCTTTTCCCGACTTCATTTTAGAGAGGGCTTCACTCAGAAATCACGCTGGGCAGGTCTCCCACTGTCCCCAGGTCCCCCACGTCCACCTCCCGTTGTTCCCAGCACGATGCTCTCCCATCTCCTTTCTAACACATTGCCACCAGCACCTGAGATGCTGGGGGCAGGCCGGAGCTCAGCACATTGCTTTAAGCCTCCTGCACACCCCCAAAAAGACATCCTGAGTTGGTTCTCGACACCAAAACTGCCCAAATCTGGGCTGGGAAGGGGAGCGCTGCTCCCGGGGGCTTGCAGTGGCTCAGGAGAGCCGTGGCGGATGCACCAAGTTCGAAGGAAGGAAGACAATCGAAGGAAGGTGACTCTTGAGTGCTGGATTTAGGGCACAATTAGGATTTCCCTTCAGGGACACGGGGAGATTTGATAGGGCCTTGGGCCTTGGCCTCCCAAATCACAGCCCTCGAACAGAGGAGACAAAAATGTGAATCCGCCAGCAGCAGCAACAGCAGCGGGCCATTAGCCTTGGTGCATCAGGCCTAACTTACTGAGCCAGAATGTATTATTTTCAGGACCCTGCACAAAGCAAAACCCATCACATTTGGCACAGTTCTGGCTGTTAACTTCTAAGATTTATTACACAGTGCCATGGGGCCCCTGTTCTGCAGCTTTTTGTGAGTCCAAAATTTCCGTGAAGCCCAAGGGGACTTCTGCATGAGCAGGAAAGGCAGGAGCAGAATGCTTTGGTTTGGCAGTTTTTTGTTATTTCTAAGGGAGGAAGATCATAATGTGTAACATATTTAATTGCATCATACTTATTTTTTTGATTTGGGGAGGTCTCTGTGTGCATGGCCTGCGAGGGGCTAATGGGGCTGCCTTCTGCTTTGCTGTATCAGCCGGTTTTTCTTTTTCCCTTGCTTGTGACCCTCCCAGCAGTGGGTTTCTGAAGCTTGTCCCAAGCCAGAGAGGTGGGAGCAGGAGCCCTAAATACTTTTAATGCCTGCAATAATAACAGGGCAGGAGCCGCAAGGGTTGCCCGTCCTTTCCGCTCCTAATGCATCAGCACAGGCATGGCTCTGAGGCTCAGAAATCCCTTTCATGAATCTATAAATATATCCTACTACAGACAAAGAGAAAAATACAACCCATCACGCTGACTGTGCTTCAGGTAGTCCGAAGGGCTGGGCTGGGCTGAATCCCCCTCTTTTCCAAGGAAAATCATTCCCAGTGCTGTACAAAAGTGCTATTTACCCCTTTGTGGTATCCAGGGATGGCAGAAATCTCATTTCAGATGGCAGCTGGCCATCCGAACAGAGCCCCCAAAGTTGTACAAGCCCCTTCCTATACCCCCCTGTGAAATCTGCTTTAGGCACAGATACTAGAAGTGGTATAGTAACTTGGCCGGCACTTATATAAATTGTCATGCTAATATAGTTCTTGAAAATTGCAATTACAGCATGAAACAACATTTGGCTGAATTAAAAAAAAAAAAAAAGGCTTGCTTGTAGCGAGCACTGTTTTGTTCACCCAGCATTTTGGCTGTTCAGCCAGCGCGAGAGGTTTCTGCTGATGCTGACATGTGAGGTAACGTCTCTGCAGCAACCTGCTGTAATAGGACATTCTGTGTGCACCTCCCCAAATCCTGCCCACTGCCTGACATGGTCGAGCACAGGCTTCCTGAAAACGTGCAGGGCGCAGGCTGGGCTCGGTGTGGGGTCAGCAGTGACACAACCCCTTCGGATGGGGTCTTCCCTTGCAAGGAGATAGACATCGCTCCCCGGGGCTGAGCAGAGTGCTGGGTTGGAGTCAGGGCACAACAGCTCGGCCAAAGCTTTGTAGAAGCAGCTCCTATCTGCTCCGGGACCAGCAGCAGCTGGGAACAATGGGGCTGGGCTGATGGATAGCCCCCAGGGGAGCGCTGCCTCTCCGCCGCCCTGCCATGGAGGAGAAATGTCACCCCAGAGTGAAATGTCACCCAGGAATGAAATGTCACCCTGGAATAAAAAGTCCCCCCAGTATGAAATGCCCCCCCAGTATGAAATGTCCCCCTGGACCCCTTCCACACCAGTTCCCCACTGACGTGGGGCTGTGTCCCCGCACCCACCCCGAGCAGTGGCCGCTTTCCAAGGGCTCCCCGCGCGCAAGCTCTGCGACTTGAAAGGCTCAGTGGGAACGGGTACCTTATATTATTTTTTTTTACAATTACGATTACCGGAGGGGATTGGAAGGAGGAAAGAAGGGGAGGGAGAAATTGCTCTTTAAAACATTCCTCAGTGTTGTTTTTTTTATTTTTTTCAGCTGCTTTTGTTTGATGAAGAGCCCCCAGCAGAGGCCTGTCATTCTGCGCTGGGAGCGCATTTGACACTCCTGTCTCCACCGTGTACCTGGTGTGTATTTGCTGCAGTGCTGATTACATTAACTCCTGTGTTTATAAACATTTTGAATCAGTGCAGAAGGCTGTGCTGAACAGAATTTTAAAGCCAGCGTCAGTTTTATTTTTGCTTTTTCATCTGTAAACACACATAATGTGTCTGCAGCGCAGTCAACAATGAGGGATCAGAGGTGCAAAGGGCTTCCAGAGCTGATTCTCTGCTTGGCTTCACTTCTGAGCTCTCCTGATACAGCCTCCCACATGCTTACACGAACACACCAACATGCGCTCACATACACACCGCACAGAGCACAGGCACCCCTGCAGGTCTGAAAGCCCCATCCTTTCGGAAGGCAATTCAGGGCTGACGGTCGCTCCCGTCCTGCCGTTCTCTGGGTAGTGCCAGCAGTTGGAGATGAAATTAAATCTGAACTGGCAAGAAAATTGCCTTCCAGTTAATGGAAGCC